GACACCGTGCCCAGCTCTGCTGGCCCTGGCGCGGGACTCCGTGTCCCCAGCTGGGAGGGGCGGAGCCCTTCCACTCTCCGTAGTCCATCGGCTGTCTGTCCTGACAGCAGGGCCCAGGGAGGTGACGATTACAGGCCACATCTTGCCCCCGTGGGTGGATATTCCTTGCCACTCTGCTGGCCCGTTCTGGGGAGAGCCCTCCCCCGATGAAGGAGACTCAGAGAAGAAGCCAGAGACGTGGGCCCCTCAGGGAGCTCCCAGCCCCAGCCAGGGCTGGAGGGTGGGCTCAGGGCTGCAGGACCCAGCGGTTGGGGCAAGGTGTCATTGGGTCTGGAGAGGAGAATGAGGGGGTGATCACGCCCCTGTGTGGGCTGGCAGGACCTCCTTTTGCAAGGGTGCCAGCCTGGATGGCGGGGTGAAGCCTGCAGGCAGCAAGCCCTGGGCTTGGGGGTGGAGGGTCAAACTCTCCAGGGCTCCTCCGGGCAACAGGGAACGGGGCTTGCACAGCCCTTCGTGCACTGGCCAAGCGGAACGGGCAAGACTGTTAGCCACAGAAACGGGGGACGTACACAGCCCTCAATTATTCTTAACATCTGGGACCTGATGGTTCTTATACTTTTAGACCTTTAGCGTGGACGCCCCATCGGCCACGCTACAGGCGGGGCTCTGGGTGGCCCTGACACGCGCAGCATTTGGGATCTGAACGCACTTTTCCATGGTCCGGGCATGGGAGGTGCTGACAGCGGCGTCCCCAGAGCTGGCTGGGCTGGATGCCGCCGGTGACCCCAGACGTGTTTACAGCTGACGCGAGTCATGAATGATGGAGGCCCCTCGCCGCCACGTCTGGGTTGAGGGATCGTTTGCATCAGCGGGGTTTTATGTTTCCATCTGTCTTCGTCGGCAACAAGGTGTTGAGCAAAGTATATTAAAAAGAAAACATGAGCCCTGAGAAGGTGCGACTCAGAGGGAAAGCTACAACCTCTGTCCTTCAGCTACAAAGAGGCAAGAGCCCAAGGACAAATGTTACCATTAATCCCTATTGATCATCAGTGTCAGTGTCATTAGCATTCATGATGATTAGTAAGTGATATTGATACTTAATAATTATTATTATTATCTGATTTAGTGATACTTAACAGGGAACAATTTATCCCCCTGGGACTGTTTCTCAATATTTGAGCGATTTATTTTTCACAGCCCAGGGTCAAGGGTAAGGAGGCGGGAGAAGCGGGAAGGTGCTCCTGACCGTAAAGGACAGGAAGGAGGGATGCGGGTGAGCATCCTACAATGGACGGGACGGGCCTCGCACCACAGAAGGAGTTGCCCAGTTCACAGAGACAGTAGGATTCAGGGTGAGAACCGTTCCTGCTCCCCACGGGGAACGGGCAAGACTGTTAGCCACAGAAACGGGGGACGTACACAGCCCTCAATTATTCTTAACATCTGGGACCTGATGGTTCTTATACTTTTAGACCTTTAGCGTGGACGCCCCATCGGCCACGCTACAGGCGGGGCTCTGGGTGGCCCTGACACGCGCAGCATTTGGGATCTGAACGCACTTTTCCATGGTCCGGGCATGGGAGGTGCTGACAGCGGCGTCCCCAGAGCTGGCTGGGCTGGATGCCGCCGGTGGACCCCAGACTGTTTACAGCTGACGCGAGTCATGAATGATGGAGGCCCCTCGCCGCCACGTCTGGGTTGAGGGATCGTTTGCATCAGCGGGGTTTTATGTTTCCATCTGTCTTCGTCGGCAACAAGGTGTTGAGCAAAGTATATTAAAAAGAAAACATGAGCCACCCCAAGCCCCAGAGCCCCCGCCTTTGCACAAATGTTCACATGTGCTTCCCCGTGAACAAGACGCAGGGGGCACCGGCTCGAGCGGGCGCCCAGATCCAGGACCTGCAGTGAGCACCTCTCACAGCTGGGGAGGGGGCGTTGGGGGACTCACAGGCAGGAGGGAGGAATCTGATTTAGTGATACTTAACAGGGAACAATTTATCCCCCTGGGACTGTTTCTCAATATTTGAGCGATTTATTTTTCACAGCCCAGGGTCAAGGGTAAGGAGGCGGGAGAAGCGGGAAGGTGCTCCTGACCGTAAAGGACAGGAAGGAGGGATGCGGGTGAGCATCCTACAATGGACGGGACGGGCCTCGCACCACAGAAGGAGTTGCCCAGTTCACAGAGACAGTAGGATTCAGGGTGAGAACCGTTCCTGCTCCCCAAGGGTCCCCAGGCCCATGTCCCTGATGAACAGGCCAGGTCACTGAATTCCCATCTTCTCTCTGTATCTACTCGGGGTTCAATTCTGCCCCCATCACGTGCTAGCTGTGTGACCTTGGGCAAGTTATTTAACCTTTCTGAGACTCAGTTTCCCCACCTGAATAATGGGATGATACCTTGCTTATAGGGTTGATTGGATAAGTAGTCAAGGAAAGGCATATGAAGTGCCTCGTGCAGAGCCTAGCCCACAGTGGACAGTCACTAATGGTAGCACATAACAAGGATGAACTATCAGCAAATAAGGTTAGAACAATTGAGGCTTTGTAAGGAAAAAATAAGGTTAAATCTCTAGCCCATATTTATGAAATATAAATTCTAGATGCTTTAAAGGCCTAACTATAAAACAACAAAATAAGATTGTTTTCCTAATAATGGGAATTTGTTTTTATGACCTTAGAAGAAAGAAGACTTTCTAAATAAAAAAATGAAAACTATGGATTAATAAATTTGACCACATCAATATTTTATTTTTAAAAAATGTATTTTCAAGAAAGGACAAATAGGTAAAACTACAAGCAAGCCGCAGACTGAAAGAATATTTGAGACCAATCATGACAAAGAGATAATATAAAAAATATTTTTAAAAATACATACAAATCAATAATAAAGAGAAAAATAACCCAATAGAAAAGTGAGCAAAGGTTTTAAACAGACAATTCAAAAAAATAAGTAAAATATAAGGCCAATAAACAGAAAGAGATGCTCAACATTACCAATACACAACAAAAAATAATTGAAGTAATAATGACTACACTTTTCACCTATCACACTGCATAAAACTGTAATGCCTGATGATGCGATATTTGGAAATCATGTGGGGAAATAGTACTTCTATGCTGTGCAGATGGGCGTGAACACTGACTGATAGACCCACTTTGAAAAGCAACGTAATATGATCTACTGAATTGATAAATGAACACACCCTACACCCCAGAAGTTTCACTGCTGGATCTTTGCCCCAGAGGGCAGCATTGTTTATAATACATAGCAAAACAACAACAACAACAAAACACAAATGTCCAACAGCAAAGGAATAGCTAAGTAAGATGTAATATATCCACACAATGAGACCTTATAGGCATTAAAAGGATGAATTAAATCTAGTTATAGCAACATGGAGAGGGTTCAAAATAACATATTTGAGGAACTTCTGCTTCCAGCCAAGACAGAATAACTGGGACTGATTTACCCTCCTCCTGCCGTAACAGCAAGAAATCCAAACGAAACACACAAAATATTGGCTCTAATATGTGAAGAAAAAGAGCACATATGGCCATCTCAATTGATGCAGAAAGAGCATTTGACAACATGTAACACCTTTTCAAGGTAAAAGCATTCAATATGCTAAGAATAGAGTGAGCTTTCCTAACGTGAGAAAGGCCATATATGAACACCCACAGCACCTCACATCCCATGATGAACAACCCAAACCTTTTCCCTCAGCTAAGGAACAAAGAAGGACGTTCCGTTTCTCCACTTCTAGTCAACATAGTACTAGAAGTTCTAGCCAGAATAACTGGGCCAGAACAAGAAATAAAAGTACCCAGACTGGGGGGAAAAAGTATCGCTGTTCACAGATGACATAATCTTACATGTGAAAAATCCTAGAGTGTGCACACGCACACATGCTCACACATACGCACACACAGCTATTAGGAATAATAAACCAATTCAACAAAGTAGCAGGATATAAACTCGACATGCAAAAAATCAGTTGTTCTTCTATACACTAACAACAATCTGAAAAGGAAATTAAGAAAACCATGCCATTTATAAGAGCATCAAAAAGAATAAGATACTTTGGAGTAAATTTAACCAAGGAGGTGAAAGGCTTTTACATAAAAAACTAAAAAACATTACTGAAAGAAATTAAAGATCTTAAAAAAACTATAAAGGGAAAGATATCTTGTGTTCAGGAATTGTAAGATAATATTGCTAAGATAATACTTCCCAAACTGATATATAGATTCAATGCGTAATCCTTATAAAAATTCGAAAGGCATTTTTTTCAGAATTAGAAAAATCCATACTAAAATTCATATGGAATTTCAAGGGACCCTGAAAAGTAAAAAAAAAAAAAAAAATCTTCAAAAAAAGAAACAAAGTGAGAAGCCTCATACTTCCTGATTTCAAAACTTATGACAAAGCTACTGAAATCAAAGCCCTGTGGTACTGGCAGAAAGAGGGAGACGTAAACCAGCGGAATAGAATCAAGAACCCAAAATAAACCCTCGCCAATATGGTTAATTGATCTTTTTGATAAGGCTACCAGGACCATTCAATGGGGAAAGAAGAGTCATTTCAACAAATGGTGCTGGAAAAACTGGAGACCATGTGCAAAAATGAAGTTGGATCCTCCCTTACCTTATACCAGTAGTTCTCAACCTGTGGGTAGAGACCCCTTTGGCGATCAAACGACCCTTTCACAGGGGTCACCTAAGACCATCCTGCATATCAGATATTTACATTATGATTCATAACAGTAGCAACATTACAGTAATGAAGTAGCAACGAAAATAATTTTATGGTTGGGTCACAACATAGGAACTGTATTTAAAGGGCCAGAAGGTTGAGAACCACTGCCTTATACCATATACAAAAGTTAACTCGAAATGAATATAGACCTACATTCAAGAGCGAAGACTCAAATTCTTAGTGGAAACACAAGGGAAACCCCCATTGCCTTAGATTTCACAATGGCTTATTCAATAGGGCACCAAAAACACTGGAAACAAAAGAAAAGGAGATAAACTGGATGCTATAAAAATTAAAAACTTTTGTGCAGGCAAGGACGCTATCAAGAGAGTCAAAAGACAACCCATGGAGTGGGGGAGATATTCGCAAATCATACATCTGATAAAGCATTAGTATTCAGAATATGTAAAGAACCCTTATAACTCAACAACAATAACAAAATAAACAATCCAATTCAAAAATGGGCAAAAGACTTGAACATCCGTTTGTCCCCAAATGATATACATGGGAGGACAAGCCCGGCACCTTTGGTCATTGGGGAAATACAAATCACATCCGCCAGGATGCCTGTCTCGTTTTAAAGGAAAATAACGAGGGTCGATGAGGATGTGGAGAAACTGGAGCTTCCTGCAAGCTGGTGGGGATGTAAATGGCGCAGCTGCTGTGGAAGACAGTTTGGCAGTTTCTCAAAACGTTAAACACAGAATTGCCGTCCACCTCAGCAATTTCACCCCCTCAGCACACATACAAGAGGATGGACAGCAGGACCCCCAACAGTGCTTGTACCCAAGCAAAGCTTATAGCGATATTAGTCACAAATGTCAAAAGTGTCCATCAGCCGGTGAATGGATAAACAAAATGCGGTGTATACCTACAATAGAACATTGCTCGGCCATAGAGAGCAATGAAGTTGTGACACAGGCTGTAGCACGGGTGAACCTTGAACATATTACGCTGAGTAAAATAAGCCATGACACGAAAAGACAAGGTTGCGTGATTCCACTTATATGAGGTATTTAGAGTCATCCAGGTCATAGACACAGAAAGTAGAACAGAGGTTACCAGGGCCTGGAGCCATGGGGGATGGGGAATTGTTACTTCACGGGTGTGAGTTTCTGGGAAATGAAAAGTTCTGGAGATACAGTAGATAGTGATGATGGTCGCACGACCTTGTGAATGTACTTAAGGTCACTGAATTGTACACTTAAAATGCTTTAAGTGGTAAATTTTATTATATATATATATCTCCACAGTTTTTAAGGGAAAACAATAATTGATTACTTAAAGCAAAGCTACAATTAATATATTAGGAGGTTTATGGCATATATGAGAAGTAAAAAATGTGAAATAATAGCAAAAAAGGATGAAAGTAGGAAAATGGAATGTGTGGTTGTAAAGTTCTTATTCTACGTGAAATAGTATAAGAGAGCTGGAAGGCAGAGTGTAATAAGTTAAAGATATAGATTGGAAAGTTTTCATCTCCCACAGCAAAAAAAAAACACAAAGAGATATGGTTAATTAGCCTGGAGATCAAATGAATCATGTAAAAACTGATTAATAAAAAAGAGAAAAGGAATGAAAATGATACAAAAAGCAGATGGGAGAGAAAAGAGAAAAGCGGCCGGGGTGAGCCCAGCAGTATTCATTAAAAAATTAAACCTAAATGGACTCATCGCCCCAATGAAGGAAATTGTCAGGTTGGAAAAAAAACCAACTATACGCTACCTACAAGAAACTCATTTTCAGAAAAAGAAATAGTACTATCCTTGTACAATTAAAAGTTTTAAAAGATCGCAGTCCCTAATGCTCCATTTCCCCCTGTCACAGGGCAGGTACCAGAGACTTTGGGTCAGTCTGTCTGTCGCACAAGCAGGTGGGCTCCCAGAGGGATGGACGGTTCTCAGAGCGCCACCTACAGCACAACCCCCAGAGCACCCGCCACAGAGGCTTCTGTCCTGCCCGTGTCTGGTGCCCCTGGTGGTCATGATGCGCAAACGCAGCCCCTCCTGATGGCTGCCAGGGCAGCGGCCCTGTCTCAGGGTGGCTCCCAGCTTGCCCACCGCTGGGGCTGGGGTGGGGGTCTTGTAGCCGGTAACAGGCCTTGGGGAGCGGCTATTTCTGGATACTTTGCCAGATGCTCCTTGCTGGGCTGAGCTGGAAGCAGAGGGTACTCAGGGCAAGGCCAGAGTGACCCCAAACCCTGGCTGAGTTTTAGCTCCTCACCCTGCTCCTCAACTCTGTCCTCACCCCAGGGGCAGAGCAGGGGCCCTGGAACCTCAGAATGGATCCCTGCAGACAGAAGCCCTCTGAGAGGGCACCCTCCCCCACTTCGCTGGGGCTCTGCAGGGCACCTGCAGTCTGGAGCCATCAGCCACTGTCACAGGAGCCCTGAGGCCAGCTCTGCATGGTGCCACGGTCAGAGTTCAATTTCTCTTCAGGGCTGCAGCTCAGCCTGCCATCTGTCTGGGGTCTGAGGTGGACCAGGCTTGAAACTCAGACTGGGGGGTCAAGGTCAGAGCCAAATTTGGGGCTGAGTCAGGGCCCAGGAAGAGAAGAGGGCTCAGTGCCCTCTGGGTGCCACTCATAAGGCCACTGTGATGCCTTGGCCTCCGCGTGGCAACGTAGGTTCTGCCTAAGGCTTCCGGGTCACAGTCGCAAAGTGAGTTTTCTGCGGCACAGAAATCATGGTTCCCCAGGAGCACCTGCTAAGCGGGCGGGCCAGGGCGAGGTGTGGACGGGGAGGGTGTGGGAGGACTGGTCTTCCCCAGGCTACACGAGGACAACGTGACACTTGGTTTCCCTCTGACCGAAGAAGGTGCTGTGATTGTGCATGGATAACTCATCTCTTATAAACTTTAAACTTTGCCCCAGACTTTGCCCCCTAGAGCAAGCTTTCTCTTACCAGGCCTGCGGGGCCAGGTCTGCCCAGGAGACAGACCGGCTGTCCCTGGCATGTGCCCAGCGCGGACAGTTGTCCTGATTTTGCAGGAGAAGAAACTTGGGGGCCCAAGTCCGCACGGGAAATTGCCCTCTCCCGGCTCCCAGCCCCGGCTGCTGCCTGCGGCCAGATGTATGCTGTCACTCACCCAAAGGTTCTGATCCAAGTTTCAGTGGCTTATTTGGTCTTGGAGAGGTTTTACACACCAACTCAAGGGGCTGGGAGCAGAGCCGCTGAGCACTGGGAGAACGTCAGGGGTGCAGATGCCCCCCCCCGCCGAGCCCTGGAGAGAGGAGAGAGCAGGGAGGTACCCCACACACACTGTCCCACCTGCCCCTGCCCCGCCCCCCTCCGACTTCCCAGATGAGGCAAAGCCGCCTCCAGGCAGAGGAAGAACCGGCTGCAGAGAAATAACAGACCGCGTTGCCTCCTCTCCT